CTTAGGAGAAAGAAAGAGATTATGTCAAATCATGAAGGACCAATCAAATTGAAGTCTTCTTCTCCAATACCTCTCTCTCTCCTACACCTATAAATAGGGCTCTCCTCAATGCCACAAATCACACCTCAAGCACCTCAAAAATATCAAACACATCTCAAATATTAAAGTCTCAAATTCAAGAGCTCTCAAGAACCCTCTTGAAGATTTGAAGAAGTTCTTGAAGAACCGCCCGAAGTCCATTCAATGAAGAAGAAGGCCAAGAAGAAGAAAAAGAGACGGCGGGTCTTCCTCAAGAAGTAAAGAGACGACTTTCACGCTTCTGAAGTCAATGCAAGAATATCAACGACGTTCAAGTGACATTCAAGCCGCGTTAGTTGAGAAGTTCAACCAACATAGCGTTTGATCCGGGAAAAAGCTATCAAGTCTTCAAATCAACGTTATTCAAGTCAAAGTCTCTCTTTCAAGAAGATCAAAGAATCAAGTCTTCCAAGAAGTCATATTCAATCAAGTCAAGGCCTAACATTTAATACGGGAATAAATCATTCGACCCCTCAAATTAATGTTAGAGAAATTCAAGACCAAGCCCAAAGGATATTCATTCGTCAAATCCATATTTGAAGGTCTCAATCCCAAATTCATGAAGAGAAGAATCAGAGGAGATAAATAGAGATTGTACCCGCAATATCATTTGATCGAAATATATTCAAGTTGTACAAAAGTTTTATGTTTTTCATAAATTTGTTGGTACAATAATTTGGCACGCCCGGTGGGACCATTTCTACCTCTCATCTCTTCTCTTCAAATCAAGTTCGAAGATCTTTGAAGATGTATGAAGACCTCTTTGAAGAAAATGTACATGGAGGCAATGAAGAATGATGTCTTCCCAAGCCATGAAGCGTGGGGGCAAGTCACATGAAAAGCTCCATCAAATATTCAGATGCTCCTTGATACGAGCCTAAACTATCTACATATTTAAATGCTCCTTGATATGAGTCTAAACTATCTACATATTCCAATGCTCCTTCATATGAGCCTAAACTATCTATATATTCCAATGCTCCTTGATATGAGCCTAAACTATCGATAAAGCTCCTCGATATGAGCCTAAACTATCTACATATTCTAATGCTCCTCGATATGAGCCTAAACTGTCTACATATTCAAACACTCTTCGATATGAGCCTAAACTATCTGCATATTCCAATGCTCCTTCATATGAGTCTAAACTATCTACATATTCAAATGCTCCTTGATACGAGCCTAAACTATCTACATATTCAAATGCTCATTGAT